AAAAACTTTATATATTTTATAAATTATTTTTTAAATTTAATTTATAAAAAATTTTATAATTAATAATTTATTAAATTTTTTGTGTTATTTTAGTACATTCATTTAAACCAGAGAGCAAAAATCAAAAGTTCCATGATATCCAACTATATTAAAATGTATTAATTTTTACTGATAATTTTTAAATGATTAAAATAAATAAAAATAAAATAATTTATTTTAATCAAACTGATTTTTAACAATTAAAAAATAAAACAAAAAAGGTTAAATAACAATATAAATAATAAATGAAGATATGCTTCAATAGCATGTCTTTTCCTACTTTATTCCTATTTATGTTTATTTCAGTTTATTTTATTTCAAGCAACAAGTTTTTTATGGTTTTAGTTTTAGTTAACAATAAATCAAAAATGAATAATGCCATATATAATATGAACTCTGGTCTTTACCTGAGCGAAGGTGACAGACTATCAGCTGACTGTTTCTCGTCAAACTAACGCTGATCTGTGACGGTAAACACTCGCACTAACCAGCTGACAGCAGTGGTTGAGGGTGGGTAGAGATGCAGATTCATATCGTGTTTCATTCAGAGCAGAAATATGAATCTCTCACTGAAACGTACCGGATGTTGATGCCCTGTTTGTAGATCTTACAGGCGTCGGAGGGTAAAATCCGTGAGAGTAAAGGCACTGAGGAAGAGAAAATCAACAGCCTCAAACACATCTGCTGGACAATCCACACAATAAACTGATTCAACATGTTATGCCACAGAAAACAGACCTGAGAGTAAACGAGCCATGATTTCTGACATATGCATTAGCTTTGTTTTAACATATTTCATTTAAACTAAAAGAAATTAAAAATAATGGATTACAGTAATGATAATCTGGGGTTTAAAAGGGCTAATTATTATGAAAATAAATGTCCTCCATGTCCTGCGGTTGAGTTTTGTCAGGACGCAGTGACAGTGTGTGTCCAGCAGAGGGAGTGTGTGTGTGTGTGTGTGAGAGAGAGTGTGAGTGTGTGTGTG